GGATGGGTTTGCTGCAGACCATACTCCAACCAAACCTCATCCTTAGTGTTCAGCTTTGTGTGCATCTAGAGACCAACATATGTTTCTGCAATGCTTTTCAAGGGAAAAATTGTGCCCAAAATTCTAATCAAATAATAGATAAGCTGATTGGCATGTAGAAATGGCACTGGCACTGGGAAGTTTCAAAGATAGGCATGTTTGTACAGCGTGGCTATTAATACACCAATCTTACGCTTTTTATAGTTTTTATACCGGAATTCTAGATTACATCACAAAATTGGATGAATCATAATTAAAAATCTCTAGTTAAAGAATGATAAGTAATCCATAACCAGTGTTAACAAGTAAACTAATAAAAAATGTATTACATACCATATGTAGTAGGAACACCAGCAGGTCGTGGGGGACCCAGTGAATTGTTGTACATAGTAGCATCTATAAAAACAGAGGAAATATATTGATCCCTATTTGTATATATACACACACGAACGCACAAATAAACAAATGTTCTTTCTAGAGTGGATAAAGGGAAATATCACTGTTGTCTTCATAGCTTTTGTCCATCAACAAACCATTGATGATCATCAGGTCAAACAAAGACATGATGATCATTATCAGCTTAAGTTAATAAACAAAAGCATGCAGCAAGTGTATAACTATAAAAGACACTCCACAATGTTAAAATGTATGTTTTTTTTTTTTTTTTTTTGCTTATTTGGTGTGTATTTCGCTATTTGGGGTTTTATTACAAAGTAGGAAAAAATGGCACAAAATAATAGCTTTTTTACAAACAGGTGCTACTTGGGCATATGCACTTCCTGTCTCTGGGTTTTTGGATTGAAAGATGAAGAAGAGAGAGAGATAAAGTCTGAGACCGCGCGTGTCCTGTCCATGGAAAAGCTGCTGCTAAATCCAGGCCAGAAGGGATTAATAAATACGTGCTCCTTTGTTTAACAGTTTACTATTGTTGCCCATAGCTTCTGTGTGTGTGTATCTTACATTATACCAGATAATTAAAGTGATACAAAGGCAATTTAAAAAAAATATTAAAAATGTTATACTCACCTGCTCTGTGCAGTGGTTTTGCATAGAGCACCACAGATTCTACTCTTCTTGGGACCCTCACTAGTACTCCTGACCCCTCCCTTCTGCTAAGTATCCCCAAATCAACCAGCTTGCTATGGGGGCACCCAAGTAGGCTTGCTCTTAAGCCACTGCTCTCTGTGTCCATTCACACACAGAACCACAGCTCGACCCTACTCCCTCTCTCTCCTCATTGGATCACTGGCTGTTATTGACATCAGCGGTAGCCAGTGTCTGTCTCAGCCAATGAAGAGGGAGAGTCCCCGGAGAGCCGAGGCTCTTGTGTACATCGGTGGATCATGATGGGGCTCAGGTAAGCATTAGAGGGGCTGGGGTGCTGCTACACACAGATTTTTTTTTACCTTCATGCATAGAATGCATAAAGGTAAAACTGGAGCCTTTACAACCACTTTAAGTCTATGATACTGTGTGCATGTGTACAAGTAGTCACTTTGCTGTTTGTTTATTGCAATAGAGTTTATATGCATCTTTTGCTATTTTAGCTAACCTTGTCTCTTCTGGTGTGGGATTCTAAAACTAGTTTTAGCTTAGGGCTCAATAATCAGCATAAGCTAGCGCACATGTGTCAAACACAAGGCCCATGGGCTGAATCCAGCCCTCTAGGCCATTTCATGTGGCCCTTGCACCCAGGGCTTTTTTTCATTGGCTGAACAGAGTTTCTCCACCTCTTTTGGCGGTGGTGGGAGAGATGAGGGTTGTGGAGGGTGGGGGATGGGGAGAGTTGTGCAGAGGTCAGAGCCTAGGAGGAGGGATGGAAGTGAGATGTGGATAGCCTGTGAAAGAGAGCTGAACCTTGCACTCTGTGCAAAGCACACCCCAAAACCCTGCACTCTGTATGTAACGCACTCCTCAACCCTACGCTCTGTACACAGTGCACCTGTGAACTCTGCACTCTGTACATAGTGCACTCCTGAACTCTATATGTTGCACACTCCTGAACTTTTCACTCTGTACGTAGCACATTCCTGAACTCTGCACTCTGTATGTAACACACTCCTGCACTCTTTATGTAACCCACTCCTGAACTCTACACGTAACACATTTGTGAACTCTGACTTTGTACATAGTGCACTTCTGAATTCTGCACTCTGTATAAAGCGCACGCCTGAATAGTCTTACAGATTCAACCAACCCTTTGAGGGCACCCATAATGGTGATGCGGCCCACGATGAAATTGAGTTTGACACCCTTGGGCTAGAGGCACTTAGAGGTCAGATTACATGACAAATTAGAAGTTACTAGGTACTTGAGCTGGCCAAAGACGAGTAAAAAAAAACAAAAAAATTTCTTACTTTTTGAGTTCAGATGTTTGTTTATCGCATCATCAGTGTGCCAGATTTAACACATGATTTTTGTGCCTCAATGAAACATGCCTGATCCAACATGGTAGATTTTTTTCAGAAAAACACAACAAATGACGTCACAATTTTATGCGCCATTTTTGTTTTTCAACCATCAGAACATTCCATTTTCGACTTAAAGCAGTAGTAAACCATGACATTAAAAAAAAAAGAAAAAAATCCCCTGCAAGGCAATGGCATAATGTGCTAGAATGCATCACATCCTAGCACATTATGCAAAAACTTTCCTTAGAACTTTGCCCTAAGGCACTGTCACCGCTGATAGGGTTTCCATCTTCACCCAGTCTTCCTTTCCAGATTTGCGGGCTCCAACAGCTTGAATGGTAGCCATGATGATGTCACTCTCGTGCATGCACAAGGGAGTCATGGGCCATGGCACAGCACTCTGAAGGAATGGCACGAGTATGCCGTTCCTTTAGAGAGCATGCACCAGTGACATCACTGGCTGCCAAAAGAGCGAATATCTCCTAAACGGTGCACGTTTAAGATATATCCATTTTACCTACAGGTAAGCTTTATTGTAAGCTTACCTGTAGGTACAAATCAACAGGGAGGCTTTACTACCACTTTAAGACACAGAGTAGATAGTTCCAGATCCATTCCACAGTTTTGATTGGTGAAAATCTGGAATCATATTCTCTGAATATTTTGATGATATTTTGTACTATAGATGATATATTTAAAGTATTTGCAATTTTACATTGAGGAATATTGTTCTAAAATTGTTTGAGAATCTCTAGATATAGCTTTTCACAGAGCTGTGTTACTGACCTATTGCCAATTAACCTTACTAGTTGAAAAATGTTCTTCCAGCTCTTTCTTGTTAGTACCATTTACTTTGCCAGCTACTTTCCCCTGTCACAACTTTTTTTTCAGAGGTGTTGCTGCCATCAATTTGAAAACTACCTTATATTTCCATACTGATGTAGCGCCCTCTAGTGTAGATAGTTTGTTGTGTGTAGGTAGAAGCTTGCTAGAAGCCTGTGTTTAAACAGAGGATTACTTCAGGTTAAGCTGGAGAGCTCTGCAGGTCAGTCTCCTGATACCTCCTCCTGCTCTAGAAGCTTGGAGAAGCTTCTAGAAGTCAGTAGGTGAGGAGGGGCTTATCTACATATTTATGGGAATCTGACCCATGCCAGACAAGAGGCCTGGCACTGTGGAAGACTGTACCATAAATATGACAGAGGCTGGCCAGCAGGGGAGTCAGGTGGAAGATGGTTGAGGTGCTGCTGTGTAGCCTTGGAGGGATCCCCTGGAAAGGAGGGTTCTACCTCAAGCCTGGAGGTTGAAGGAAGGAGCAGAGCTCCACTGCCCTACAGTCCACCGAGGATGGACAGCCTGCATAGCCTGGAACAGGACCAGCCTACCAGAAGGCCTGAACGCAGTTCTATCCATAGCTACAGGACAAGGACATTGTGCATACCTCTACACCCCCAGGACCTATAAGGGAGAAGTCTGCTAGATGCAAATTCTTGGCAAGTCTTCAGGGGACAGTATAATGCTTACCCAATCCCTTATCCTGGGATTAGATACTGTAGCCATGTGGGCTGGTATTTTGTTCACTAAGGGGTCCAAGTTGTCACTTGGCTGAAGATCTACTCGGGACACCAAATTTCTAGGAGGGGATCACTTTGCTAAAGACCATTGTGGTTCCGGCTGGAATGCAGTCAGATATCTGTCATTTTTGCAGTACGCTAGTACGCTAGAGAAGGAAACTGTCATCAATTTGTTGTTCTTCAATCAAGTTGGGCATCCCATAACCCCTTTACGCTATCCAAGTTGAATTCCCCAATAAATCCTAAACACCAAGCCCATTGACTGTTTCTTGTGTCTGGAAAATGAGTGTTGCCAGGCTGGCAGGAAGTAAAGGGGGACGCAAAAACAGCAGCGCTCAAGGGGGTAGCGCTACACTTATGCATCTATATACTTCATCTGCTCCCAATAACTTTAACCGCCTCCCGCCCGCCATATAAGGAAATGACGGGCGCAAGGTGATTCTCTCATTTGACGCCCTCCCAGTCTAACCGCACATGCGCACCCCCTGGGACACAGCGGATCACCGATCAACGAAAAGAGCTGAAGATGTCGGCTCTGTCATGTGATCAGTTGTGTCCAATCACAGCTGATCACATGTAAATAAGGAAATGCCGGTTATCTGCATTTCTCTCCTCACGAGCTGTCACGCTGACAGCTCGAGAGGAGAGGAGAGCCGGTAATCAGCATTACTCAGAGGGGACATGTACACTGATCATCAGGGCACTGATGATCAGTGTGCCCTGATGATCAGTGTAGCCCCATCAGTGCCACTTGTCAGTGTCCATAAATGCCACCTGTCAGAGCTCATCAATGCCATCTGCCAGTGCCCATCAGTGCCACATCAATGGCACATTTCATTGCATACCAGTGCACATCAATGCCAAATATCAGTGCCCATCTGAGCTGCCTTTAAGTGCCACCTATTGTGCCAGTCAGTGCCACCTATCTGTGCCAGTCAGTGCCACCTATCAGTGTTTTCAATCAGTGCCGCCTATCAGTGCCAGTCAGTGCCGCCTATCAGTGCCAGTCAGTGTCGCCTATCAGTGCCCGTCAGTGCCACCTAACAGTGCCAGTCAGTGCCACCTATCAGTGCCAGTCAGTGCTGCCTATCAGTGCCACCTATCAGTGCCACATATGAGTGCTGCCTTCCAGTGCCCATCAGTGATGCCTGTCAATGCCCATCAGTGCCACCTACCAGTGCCTCCTCATCAGTGCCCATCAGTGCTGCCTATCAGTGCCCAACAGTGCCACCTATCAGTGCCAGTCAGTGATGCCTATCAGTGCCATCTATCAGTGCCATATATGAGTGCTGCCTTCCAATGCCCATCAGTGATGCCTGTCAATGCCCATCAGTGCAGCCTATCAGTGCCTGTCACTGCAGCCTCATTAGCACACATCAGTAAAGGAGAAAAAACACTTATTTACAAAATTTTATAACAGAAACTAAGAAAAAAACATTTTTTTTTTTCAAAATTTTCAGTTGTTTTTGGTTTGTTTAGCAAAAAATAAAAAACCTAGAGGTGATTAAATACTACCAAAAGAAAGTTCTATCTGTCTCAAAAAAATGATAAAACAATTTCATAAGAGTACAGTGTTGCATGACTGCACAATTGTCATTCAAAGTGTGACAGCACTGAAAGCTGGAAATTGGCCTGGGCAGGAAGGGGGTATAAGTGCCCTGTAGGCAAGTGGTTAATTACATTACTGGTTAATTTCTCAGGAAGGGAATCCCCTTTGTTCACGATCAACTTTATTATCAAACCCACTCTTCCACTTCGTGAAGGTTCTGGTTCTTTTTGTACAGTTAGTCACCTACATATGAACTTCCAAGTTGCGAACTTTCAAATATACGAACATGCATTTGCATATGCAATCATGTGAGCTCATTTACATTTCTGGCGTACGTTCTCATACGTACATCTTCTACAAGTGGTGGTGCTTCTGTGTACTTTACTGTATACAGTACTTTATCATTATTTCAACCTTTTTTCCATGAGTGAAATGTGTTTAAGACTTATTGCAGTATTTTTTTAGGCTGATTGTGTTAGTTGGATAGCTAGGCTAACTTTGTTGGACTTACAAACAAATTGGACTTATGAATGTACTCTCGGAACACAACTCGTTCATATGTAAGTGACTTATGGGTTTACCACAATATTCTTTGAGGAGGGCAATTTCTCTTAAGCCCTCAAAAAAGGGCTACAATTTAAAAAAGTCAAATATCAACAAAATACACTAAATATAGCAAAAGATACACAGAACACAAAGAAAAAAATGCTCATGAACAATTTAAACTCCATTTCATTATTACAGTAACCTTCTGTATTTAAGGGCTTTCATCAGCTGATTTAATCAGTTATTGAGTATGCAATATGTATATCATTTAATCCTTGCCTGTGGTCTGGTTTAAGCTGTTGCCATGACACTTCCCAGGGATTCATGTTTCAGGGTGGCTCCTTTTTCTTGCAGCATCCTATGGAGCCACCCTTGCATGCAGGGAGTAGAGTTGTGTCTCCCTACACTGTATGTATAAATAGAAACACTCAGTCTTGGTTAGAAAAGCACTCCCCTGATGCTCCTTTCTTTTTTAACCAGGCTAACAGACTAACTGCAGTCTGCACTGTTCACTGTTAACTCTTTCCTGTGAAGACTGGAAGTTCAAGGAAGCAGCACAGAGAATAGGAGCTAGCAGCTTTGAAAGCTGTAAACTGCAGGTGCTAAGGTAAGAATCTTAACAAAATGTTTGCTGGAAAATGTTTGTTTTGTTGTGCTCAATGTGTTAAGCTAAAAACACTGAGGGTTTAATACTGCTACTTTAATCCTCTTACTCCCATAGCCATTTTGCATTGCATTTTTTTGCACACTTGTCTTAAAATCATTTTAGGCCTAAAGGTTAATTAAAACACCCAAAACATTTTATATTTTCTGAAAGCAGATATCCTGGAGAATAATCTGGGGATAGTTCCAATTCTTTATGTCACATGATAATGGCACAACTGTTTGTCATGGGCAAAATATCAGTAAAAATACACTAAAGTTAATTTTAGAGAACACAATTGCAATATACAGTATTATACAAAACTTTTAGGCAGGTGTGAAGAAATTCCGTACAGCAAGAATGCGTTCAAAAAAGATGTATTTTAATTGTTTTTTTTTTATTAATTTACAAAATGCAAAGTGAGCAAACAGAATAAAATTCTACTGTAAATCAAATCAACATTTGGTGTGACTACCCTTTGGCTTAATCCTGCATCAGAACTTAGGCAGTCAGAGCGGAAGTAAGTGCGAGTCAAAACTGGGTACCCACTCCCCAAAGGTGCCAATTCTTAATGGGGAGTGGGGGATGAGTCCTTAAAGCAGAACTTCCCCTTTTGGGTGGAACTCTTCTTTAACCTAAACAGAGACTGCTGTATAGGAGGCTTAAAACTAAGTGAGGAGCAGCCAAACTCTGCTACTAAAGGTAAGGTTGTGGAAAACAGTTTCATGTCACAGGCCAAACATCATGTCAAGACTAAGCACAGCACCAAGACAATGTAGTTATACTGCATCAGCAAAGTGTATCCCAGGCAAAAATTTCAAAGCAAACTAGGGTTTCAAGATGTGCTGTGCAAGCTCTTTTGAAGAAGCACAGAGAAATGGGTAATGTTGAGGATCATAGACACCGTGATCGGCCAAGGAAACTTCATGCAGAAGAGGAAAGATCATCATGCTTACTTCCCTTCGACATCAGATGTTCAGCAGTGACATTGGCACAGAACTGGCAGAAACCAGTGAGACCCAGGTACACCAGAAGTCTGGTCAGAAGTAGTTTTCATATTAGAGTTGTGGTCAACAGCAATACCGTTGATGTGGAAACAAGACTAAGCGACTAAACTATACACAAAAACATAGGCACTGGGGTGCAGAAAAATGGCAGCAGGTGCTCTGGACTGATGAGTCATAACGTGAAATATATGACTGTAGCAGGAAGCAGTTTTTTCCCTTAAGGGTAAATGTGAAGCATGGTGGAGGTTTCTTGCAAGTTTGGAAGTAATATGGCACAGAAGTGTAGTTGGGAAAGGAGGACTTAATAGATGGGGGCAGAAGGTTAATGAAAAACAAGTCCTCTGTTGGGCAAGTTCTTAGAATGTAAAGCCCTTGGTGTTATAAATCTAGTACACTTTGTGCAGCACCTCTAAGAGACTTAAGGATTCTTTATAAATTAGCAAGAGAACACAGTAGAGTGTGCAGACTAAGTGTAATAGATATTACAAAATGTATTCAAACAACAGCAATTGGCAACTCACATAAGGATGAATGTAAAATGCTTCTCATCACAGTTGTTAAAGGGTCTTGTTCAGAAGGGGCTACAGTGAATAGGTGGAGTAGGAATGCTGGTAGGAGAGACGCCTGTAGTAACTTGGAATACAGCAAGAGGGTGCCAATCTAAGTGTAGTGGGTAAGGGAAGTAAATTCACACAAATCAATTGGCAACTCAGTCGGATAATGTAAAGATTGCTTGTATGTAGTCGTATGAAGTTTTTGTCCTGGGTCAGTCTGTCGATGTAGTTTCTGGATCTGAGGGGAGTAACACCATCATTGGGAGATGATGGTATAGTGTCTTATGGTGTCCACGGAAGTGATTAAATACTTGTTGCTCTTGTGTTCTTAGTTGGAAGGGAAGATCAGTGAATTCACCTTCTCTGGCATCCTGGATTCACACATGGATATTTTCGCACATAGCAGCCAGCAGTGTATGTAAAACCCCCCACTGATGCCAAGGTATGCCATATTTAAGTTGCAGTGAAAGGGTTAAAGGCCAATTGAACCCTTATTTTAATTCAGCTAAATACATTCCAGGTGCATAAAAAAAAGTGTTCAAGAACTTAGGCTGCATTTACATGGGTACTTAGCCATGCTGCTACTCCCGGTGGAAAGAGTCTATTGATTTCTGTGGCTGGGATTTGCATCTGTGTGCAGATAACTGTGGCCATTGTGCCCATACAGTGCAATGACAGGGTGTCTGTGGCTGCAGCTATTTGTGACAGTTCGCACAGCCAGCAATTACCTGAAGTGATCATAGCTGCACATGTGCCCATGTAAATGCAATCTAACAGTTTCCTTTCTAAAACAGCCACAGCCAGATTAGGAAAACCTGTTCCCTGTCAACATTTTGTTTTAATAAATTTGGAATTTAATATGCCGATTTAAACTTAGAATTCAACTGAGCTTTAAAAACCACTTTAAAGTTAAAAAAAATCCTTCTATATATCCACTGAAATGACTAGCCTCAGGTGATACACATCGATGAAGCAAATCATCAGTGATTCATGTAAACAGTAGAGGAAGGAGAGAGCTGGCAGGATGAACTATTCATTGATCCTATAGATTGAGGCAAGCACACCCAAAGAATGATATGCTTTGTTCATATTTAATTTAGGGGTTTACAACTAGTTCAATTTTGTCTTCCCCTTTCTTTGCATTGAATTTTGACAAAATATTGTCTACATCAAATCAGTGAAGATTTTTCTAAAGTTAACTCCCAGTTAAATTGGACCTGAACTTAAAATATTGAAGACTTACCTATAGTGAATATCAAGATATGTTAGTTGTGTCTAAGACTCCTGAAATTTCAAATTCCTTTCCATTTGGTAAAAGAGGTGTTATCAGGAGCTTTGTGGTGTAAAAACTTTACAGCAGTTAACATTTAAGTTGCCTAAAGTCTTGTAGTTGCATGCTTGGGTGACTCAATTTTGCAGGACTTGTGACATTATACCATACTGTAAGTACTGTCCAGTCCTTAGCCTTGTGGAATGTTAAAGCTTGCATGCAGTAAAGCTAATACAATATTCATCACAAAAGAGGCAATGATTTAGTTTGATGAAGGAGCCATCTTTGCACCCTGCACAGCCCTTAACTGTATGGGAAAGTACATTGCCAAGTGGGATGATGGCGCCAAGTGGGATGATGGCGCCTCGTATGTACCATGTAAAAATTGTAAAATACAGTAAAGCCGTTCATAAATTGTAGACTTAAGTTCATAGTCTATGGCCTGAAATGTTCATGTGGGTTATATTATGTTGGATGTAACCATTAGGACCATGCAAGCCAGTAAACACAAACTGAACACATTGAACAAGGCAGTGTGCACCATAGTGTTCCCAGTACTTTTTTTCCAGTCATATGGGGATACAAGAGGGATCAACTCACAAAGCAATGTCTAGGAACTTAACTGAATTTGAAAGTTTCTAAAAACTTTTCCAAGGAAACGTATTGACTTTTGTTCTTAACAACATAGTCCCAAGAGGCTGAAGCATTGGTGATTGGCACTATTATATAACTCCCATCAATATAAAATGTATCAATTATTCGATATACAGTCATGCAGTTTCCTAGATAGA